GAAAGAAAAGCTTGTAGTTAGTTCAGGATCGTTGGCCTTTAGGAGTCAGAAACCCTATTTCTATCTGATTCTCTCTCCTTTCCCTTTTGAAGTTAAATAAGGAGATCTGATACAGACTGTTTTTTCACCCATACGAATACTGCCTGAAATGCCCCCCCACACCCAGCCAACCACAAATTCCTGCTTGCTGGACTCAGGATCTCTCTCTACTATTAATGTCCATTTCCTACTTTAAATGTAGAGCCGCTTAGTTACAACTAACACATAACTGTGATATAAAAATTAAGCAATACTTTTGTTTGTTTCAGAGCCTTAGTTCCCATTAATGTTACAACCGATTATTTCAAAGCCATGCTCTATGACTCAGTCTCTCCCTGTCCCCTGTGCTGTAGTAATGTGATGGACTTCAAGGCAGTTTATCAGGTGATAGATCGTTTCAGGAAGGTATCATTGCATACACGAGCAAAGCCTTATACTAGGAGAGGACAGTATCTGCCAAATGGCGCTACCCTGGTAGGGATGTCTCTGCAAGAGTGGGCTCACAACCCATTCAGCCTGGTCAGTTTACAATCTTGTTCCAAGTCTCGGCTTCTTCATCCATACAATGGAGTTAATAGGGTTGTTTTGAGGAGTCAATGAGATGATGCTTTTTAATTGCTTGGCACAGTGCCTGACACCCAGTGCGTGCACAATAAAAGGGTAGCTGTTTTCTAAAGTCTTAATCGGTGGCAGGTACACAGATTGATTCTGGCTGAACGAAGGTGTCCACAAACCCATGTGTCCAATTACCAAACACATTTCTAGAAATTTTTTAAAAACGCAGAAGTATATGTGCTCCATTGGCTGGAAAGAGGACGACTCAATCTAGCTGACTCTAACTACATTTTTTAGCTGACTGTCTACATTCGACCTTCTTGACTCGGCATTATCTATGCCATTATTAACCAGCAATTTATTAGCTCCGCTTTGCTATTTGGGCTTTATTTATTTATTTAGGCTATTTTCATTCTCGAACCTGAGCTTGCTGCAGTGGTGGTTTCAACCCAAAAACATTAAGCGGGGCTCCCCTCCCCCCCTCTTTTTCTAATGAGTATAAAGTAGTCAAGGGTAAGTACTACTTTTGATTTCCTATTCCCAATGGGAGACATTTATGTAAGGCACAAGTAGCAAATAGCTTCTACAGGTTATTAAAAAAGGCTTTTGACTGAAAAATAGCATTAATTTTTAATCCAGAAAGCTCAACCGAGCCAGGCTGGGCTTTTAGAAGCACGTCTGTTTTAAGATTCTATTCCTTTAAGCATTTATCTTGCGCCCTTTCCACTCGCTAATGCAATACACTACTAGAGCTATTAATAAAAATTTCCCGAATAGTTGAGGTAATTCCAACATTTCACTCACTATTTCAGGCATCGGCCCCTAACCCAAATCCTGACGCCATTGGAGAAACGCAGCAGCGGTCCGCAGTTTCCAATACCCATTTCCTAAAGAACAGCTTAAAACAAATGCTTACTGTGATTTTCCAAGTACATTTGCTGTTTGGAGGGTACACTCCAGGAAAGCCTTCGCTGCCAATAAATCCAGACTCTCCAGTAAAAACGCCTCCACAGGTGTAAACACGTCTGGGGAGATAACAGAAGGACGGACACCTCATTTGTAACACAGTCTAACTATCGATTGTCAATATTGATTAACCTCAGGAAGTTGATTAGTCAGTGCCTGCGATCCAGGGTTCTGAAACTTGCTAGCTCTTCGAATATTTAAATTATAGCCTGCTAAAGTATTCTGCCCATCTGCTAGCTTGTCTCCATCGCAGTAACACAACATTATTTAAGTTTATCTGTACGCGCGTACATAGGTTGTTGCTAGCTGACTTCCAGTCATTTCGGCGTCTCCGCCCCTCTGAAAGTCGCTGAGCCTCCCACAGAAAAAGGGCGGTTCGTCGGGATGGAGGTGGAAGGGGCGATGCTCCACTGGGCGGTCCTGCCTCTCCGGCCGTCTAGGGTCTTCCCGAGGCACAGTGGCTCCGATGGGGGGGAGCAACTAGCAGGGCCCCAGAGCCCGCGACGGGGCCCCAGCGCTCCCGCAGCCCCCGCGCCCGGGGCACCCAGTTAGGGGAAGCCCTCGCCACGTGGTGGCCGGTCGGCTGGGTCCCCGGGGAGCCTGCAGCGGACCGAGAACCG